CTGCCCCTCGGTGCCTGGCTCCTTCCCTTTGTCCCTGCGGTGCTCTCCGCTCCCGGGGGTCAGTGAGAGGCAAGGCAATCGGCCTTCCCTGCAGCCTGTTAAGGTCCGTTGAGATCTGGAGGAGAAGCGGGCCCGATGCTAAGTGGCCGTCGCAGCTTCTCCTCCCACAGGAAGTTGCCTGCAAACGCCCGTGGCAGGATTTGTACCCTGGGTCTTGCAGCATTGAGCAGCCCAGAGGAACCGGCTGTGCAGCCACAACAGGTGCTGCGCCCCACCAGTGGTACGTGTCCATCAGAGGGGTCCGTCCTGGGGCGTGCACAGCCCCTAGCCTCAGAAGGGCCCGGGGACAGCAAGAGGGTGAAGGGGCCAGGCAGGTTCCATAGCCAGCCCAGCTGACGCCTCCGGATCAGCGACCCGCTGAGTGCCTGGAGCTGTCACCTGGCAGCCTATTTACCCGTCCAGCTCCCCGGTGTGCTTTGTGGGCACCCTGTGCCCAAGAGCAAGCCAAGGGCTGGGGGCCGCCAGCACATGGCAGAGGTGGGTACCCGGGCTGGGCCTGGCTGTTACCTGTGATGGGTCCAATCATGGTGTTGTCCGGGTGGACACAGATGATGTGTGCAAGCCCCAGTCCCGAGGGGCTGGTATTTCCAGGGTCCTGCCAGCCACGGCTCGCAGGGCGTGATGGCTGGGGACTCTCCAGAGCCACCAGCAGAGCACAGGACAGAGGCACCAGCTCTGAGAACTCGTCAGCAGCTGGACGCCTTGGGCACAGGCTTCCTCATTCGAGACAAACCCCCCCACGGCTGGTGGCTAGGACGTGGAGCCGGCAGCCAGCCCCCGGCAGCTGGAGCAGTGCCCTGCCTGGGATCCCGCTTAGTCGGTTAACCAGTTAAACGTTCGATAAACCCGGCATGAAACGGGTTAGCTGACTAATCGGGATGCCTCATCCCTGGTTACGGGGTGCAGGCTAGGTAACCCAGTACTGCGCAGCGCCCTTCTGTGCACCCGGCTCGAGTCTGCCGGCAGCAGCCCTGTGTTGTTCTGCTGGCCTGCGTCATCGCCGGGTCTGTGCGGCCACGAGGCCTCCGGACCCCGGAGTGGAGGAGGGTGCGTCTGTGCAGGGGCTCTGCCCAGGTTTGCAGGGGAGGGCGTGACCCCTGGGAGCACGCGCCTTGTTTAACTGGGGGAGCTGCTGCCCCCGCGCTGCTATGTACCACGCTCCCCGCTTGCGGCTCCTCACGGGGGGGCAGACCCTGCTCCCCACTAGCACCCGGCACGCCCCAGCAGGACGGCTCCAGCGCAGGGAGCGCAGCACGGATAACCACGCGCAAGGGGAGAGTCCGCCGGGGTTGTGCTTCTGAACCCTTGTGCCCGTGGGAGCTGAGCGCGGCCCAGGCCGTGCTCCCCGGTGGGTGTGCTGGACGCTGTCCTTAGCTTGTCTGCCCCGGCTGGGAGCGTGCTTCCTGCCCCGCCAGACACCTGCTGTCTCCGGGAAAGCGCGGTAGCGGCACAGCTGCGGTGATGCAGGGCTTTGGCGTAGGCGCTGCCTAGCCCACTGGGAAGGGGTCTCGTGTTGGGGCAGGTAATTCACCTCCCCACGTCGATCTCATGGGGACTGGGGCCGGCCTCGCTATGGTGCTCGGGGGAGAGGATTTTCCACCCCCCAACCAGGGATGTAGCAGTGTCGTTGAGGGAACCCTCCCGGGTAGGCGGTGCTTCCGGCTAACGCTGTCGGCTGCGTGCAACACTCCCCTCCCCAAGTCAGCTTTTAGCGGGTGGCTGCCAGGCTGGCTCCATCACCCCGCGCCACTCGTGGAGCTTGCGCAGAGCCGCAGCGGGGTTACACCGGGATCGAGGGGCGGCCGACTCATTGCACGCGTCTTCACGTCCCCAAGCCCGGCTGCCATCCTTCGAGTGCCCTAACTGCCTCGTGGAGAGCAGGCTTGAGCCGGCTGAGCACGCTCTTCTTCTCTGCCGTGCGATCCCGGCTCCGGCGCTGGCTCTTTACGGGCAGGGCAGAGCAGGGCTCTGCAGCCGGGGGGCGAGTGCTGAACCTGACGGTGTTGGACAGGGGCTGGCAGCAGGGGACCCCAGGCTCGGCTGTGAGGTGCCTGCGCTCTTCGGCAAGCAGCGCCGTTCTGTGACTGGCAGTCGCTGTGCGCTCTTCTTCTCTGCCGTGCGATCCCGGCTCCGGCGCTGGCTCTTTACGGGCAGGGCAGAGCAGGGCTCTGCAGCCGGGGGGCGAGTGCTGAACCTGACGGTGTTGGACAGGGGCTGGCAGCAGGGGACCCCAGGCTCGGCTGTGAGGTGCCTGCGCTCTTCGGCAAGCAGCGCCGTTCTGTGACTGGCAGTCGCTGTGCAAAGGGGCTGCTCCCCGGCCGGGGCTGGGGGGGGGGGAGAGGTGT